AGCATATCCACTATTAGTGACGAATAACCAGTAACTAGATATCAATAATAATCGATGAATTATATTTAATTATTACTTTGAAAAAATAAGCTAACGTAAGATTTCTAACAGATTCTATTTATCTCATGGATGAATTTGATCTTTTAAATTATCAAATTAAAAAGAATCATAAAAATGCTTTTGATTTGAATCTTCAAATAAACTACATAGATAAGATATTTAGATAAAATTGTGAACATACCCACAAATAACTAATGTAAAAGAGAATCATTTCAATTTGAGTAGCATCATTCGATAATAGGTTAGTAATTTCACCCGAACTGATACTATTAAGTGCATGACTCGACAAACGGAGCATCTAATAATTTAAATTTAAAAATTTAATTGATCATTTCTCACATTTTGATACTTGCTTTTCGAAAGATTAGACCACTATAAGCAACACGCATTTGTAGAGCTAAAGTATTGTTTACATAAATTCCCTAGACGAATACAATGACAAGTTTTATGAAAAAAAAAAACAAGACTTACATAATTGAGAATAACACTAGAGCAAAATACTACAAAAATTGTACCCATGGCTAAAAGCCAAGCATGCCAAGCTGGCATCATAGAACATGGTTCAAAAAATCTCATCAGAAATGTAAGTAAAAGTGGTTGACTAATTTTGAGAAGTTCCTATCAAATATGAATTGCAACATGAACATGATTCATTCGAATATTCAACTTACGGAAGGAATGAAAATAAGACTATTGACTAATGGTTTCCATCTCATAGTGCGTAATGTAGCTCGAATCAAACTTGGTCTGTCAGGATTTCGTTTAATTTCAACTAACCAATTTGCTTCAAGTTTATCTGTTAGTGTTGCTGCTTCACAATCTGGAAGTGGTTCATAGAGATCATTAACATCAAGTGTATCTTGTTTACGACATTTTGAAATCAATGGAGATACCCATCTACGAATAGATTATGTTCTACAATCATTCGGACAAATAACAAAGTTACTTACTCTAGAAATAGACGGGAACACTTGCTAGCTTTCAGAAACGGACTTGGATTCGGTGGTCTTGTTGGCATCTGAAATTAAACATATATTCTTTGCATCATCAATTCTGTGACCTTGTTTTCTTTTTTCTCATTTTTGTTTCTCTCTTATCAGCTTGAAGAAAATGGTTCTACTAGAAGAGAAAAAACAATAACAGAATGCAGCATTAGTCAATAAAGTGTGCTTCTTTTTTATTAAAAAAAAATCACGTATATTTATTATCACCAGTGCTTGCTATTACTAAAACACCCACATGTTATCGCTAAATAACTTGTGCAAGTTTACGATCGATGATGAAATGTTTCGCAAGTACTTTAGCACTTGCCCTTAATAGTTCGACTCAATCTAATTTAGGTAACACAATGAGTAGATATGATGTAAGACTCCTTTCAACATTAATAAGTCAAGGAGATTTCTTTCAAACGACACTATTCGATAAGTTCATAAATCTAGCACCACTATATTTGAATATTGAATGAAAACCTTTGTTTTTTAAGAGAGGTGTGTGCCTTGTTTTTCATCACTTCATTTATACAGTTATAAGCCATAAGATTAATGTCTCCTTCTCCTTGACACTCTAAATGATGAAGGTAATTTTTTTTTTTCGAAAATATATTCTACCGCATACTATTCGACATAGTTTCACGCAGTAAATATTTGAACTGATCAGTTGAAAAGATTTTCAACAACTGAAATCGAATTTCAGTTTTGACATATTTAGAAAAGAAGCAGGCAGCACGAAGGATGACGAAAATCTCAAAATAGCAACGATGACAATCACTGCTAGAAAATCATTTTAGCGAGCGGAGCAGTAACTGTAGAAATTTTATTCGTCAATTTTTCTCATATTGGTGGCGCTATAATATTTCTTAAAAAGGTGTTTCATTTTTTAACACTCACGTATAAACAACAATATAAAGTTGAAAATAATTGCTACGAAAAAGTATTTAATTAGGCAAGATTTAACAAGATACACATATATGTAGGGATGGAACGGTGACGATAACCGTCAGTATAATCATCGGTCCAAGTCGGTATTCATGAAGAAAAGGATTTTTTAAAGAAAATAATGATTTCTCATAAAGGTTGACGAAAGGAAATTGGAATTGAGGAATCCGAATCTGAAATCAGTTTTTTGAAATTTTGAGTTCCATTTTTCCATATAAAAGTTTTTAGACAAAAAGGGACTTTTGTATAAAAAACGATTTTTTTGCAGGAAATCCAAACTCAAAATTTCCAAAAAACTGATTTCAGTTTTGGATTCCCCGTCCCCGATTTACTATTGCCAACCTTTATAAAAAAATTGTTATTTTCTTAAAAAGCCCTATCCTTCATGAATACCGGCTTGAACCGATAATCGTACCTACGGTTATCGCAGTAGGATCGGAAACCGTACCTACAGTTTTCGATTTGGACCGGTGGAACCCTGATAGTAGATCGATGACTAATCCTCACCATTGTATCTCTACATATATACTTATAGTGTTCGTTTCAATCATAACCTGCCTTATAATTAAATTTTACAAAAAACTGAGATTTAAGGCAAGTTTAAATACAATGCTCGTCATAAGTGTCTGAGTGTGGATGTCAGTGTGGGTATGGGTATGAGTGTAGGTGTTTGTGGGGTGTGTAGATGCGAGATGTGGCTGTGGCTATGGCTGTGGGTGTAGGTGTGGGTGCCCGTATGGATATGCGTGTAGGTATGGGTGTGGGTAGAGGGTATGGGTGACTCTATGGGTGTGGGTGCGGACGCAGATGTTGCTGCGTGTACGACCGCCAGTTGTCGCGAGAATCAATCAGTTTTGTATTAAGGGCTGCATCCACACCCATACTCACACCCGCACGGACACCCATCCACGCCCACAACCACACCTACACCCACACTCTCACACCCACACCCACATTCTCACACCCACACTCTATATATACAATAGTTTGCAAAAAAACTTGGAACAAATGTTTAGCCTGTATCAGAGACTAGTTCAACTTCTGTCAAGAAAAGTATTTCTCTATTAAAAGAATATCAGTTGGCAGTTTTAGAACATCCGATTCGAAGTTTGATTCATCTTCCTTTTAATTCCAGAACTGTGAGATATCTCAGGTTTAGGCTATCATTAAAATTTAATTACAATTTTTCAACATTATTTGTTTTCGATTGTTTGATGCTCGGTATTTTAAAGGCCTTTAAGATCTAAGCCATTCAAATGAGGAACTAATTCTATATAACAGTATCTTCATCTATCGATAGAGTTTTCTAACAGAGCGAATTCTCATGTTCTAATAATATAATGCAGACGTATCACTCACTTTGAGACTATGTGCCATTGTTATCTCAGATTAGTATCATACTAGAATTAAATAGAATCGGATCAAATATATAGATATTATTCGTGGCTAATCTGCTTAGTATAAACCTGCAATAATTGTAAAACAAAGATTCGATAGGGTTTAGAAAGTATTACATGTTTATATAGTAAGACTTTTCCAAGTTTTTTTTTTGAAAACTATTGTTTATACGTATACAATAACAAACGATGCTCCCTAAAATAATAGAATTTGTATATCAAATGTGAAGATTTGAAAATAGAAATTTGTTAAAAGTTTTGATGGCATCAATGCTGCTGTTCTTTATTGAACGCTAAAATTTGTTAGTCATTCCAAGACATTTTCTCATTTTCAGAAACCTTGACCTGCAGCATAAATTTAAAAAATGTGCATTTCTACTTCCACTACCATAAGGCAACTTTCATCACTTGTATAGCTCGAAAAAACTAACGTCTTATAGGCAGAAGATGGCTGTTATACTGTACCAGATCAAAAGTCGAGGTTAAGTTATTAGTTATAATTCTGATGATTTTTATGGTCACCGAATTACATGTGTCAAACTTAAATGAATAAGTCACTTCATGGTTAAAAAGTAGATACTAATTTTGATTGATTCATTTCATTGCAACGAACTGTCTTTCAACGAATTGTCCATGCGACAAATTGTCCTAGCATGGTTTTATAGAACGTGAAAAACTGCGTCGATCTATATTATTAATTTTGACATTCAGATTAAAACAAAAAAAAATAACTATACACATTACGATTATCATCCGAAATACTGAATACCTATAAAAAAAAACCATAGACCTCAAAATAAGGTCATCTCGGACAACTTTTTTTCTGTTCAAAGAAAAGAAAACTAAATTTACCGAAAGGTGTAAAGCTTCAAGCTCTAGCTTTCTATAATATTGAAAAAGAAGGCTGAGAGCTAGCAGATTTACCATGCAATCCTGTGGTATGCTTTAAATATTTCAGCTGTCATTAGATTATCAAATGTAACTCCATAAAATTTCTATACAACTACAGATAGATCATCTATTGTAACAGCTTTTCGGAAATCGTTTGCAACATCTGAAGGATATACATTCACCACAAGTGAACAACAAGATGTCTCTTCAATTGAATAATTCTTAAAATAAGAATGTGCATGTGAATGTGACTGCAGATACAGATGTGTGATTGCGATGCGTATGCGAGCCTAATGGACACTGTGTGTCTCGCTCCCGGTGTTGCCCGGCTAACTGCCTTACATGCACTCATAACCGACCTTGCACCGATAATCATATACAGAGCCACACTCGTGCGTGTCCCATCGCAATAGCAACTTTCGAGTTGCTAAATACAACTGGAATCTAAAGCATCGCTCGTAAAAATGGCGAAACTCTGATTCAACTTCCCCATCCCAAAAACACAACGATGAGAATCCTCATCAAAACTAACATCTCAAGAATTTTATTTTTGCAGAAATAAAACATAAAACTACTAAAACCTGTTTCTTAATTTTTCAATGTTCCTTTTCACAACTATCAAATGAGGATGAGCAGAAGGCACCGACTTTCTTAACATCTCAAGTGATCTCTCGTAAAACGAAAGTGCTTTCGAGTACTCGCCCATGTTATAATACACCATACCGATGTTGTTGTAGGAAATAGCCAAGCTGGGATGATTCGGAGGGAGAGCTATTTTGAAGATTTCAAGTGATCTTTCGTATGATGAAAGTGCTTTCGAGTACTCGCCCATATTATCATACACTACACCAATGTTGTTGTAGGAAGTAGCCAAGGAGGGATGATTCGGAGGGAGAGCTATTTTTCGGATTTCAAGTGATCTTTCGTATGATGAAAGTGCTTTCGAGTACTCGTCCATGTTATCATACATCATACCGATGTTGCTGTAGGAAGCAGCCAAGTCGGGATGATTCGGAGGGAGAGCTATTTTTCGGATTTCAAGTGATCTTTCGTATGATGAAAGTGCTTTCGAGTACTCGCCCATGTTATAATACACCATACCGATGTTGTTGTAGGATTGAGCAAAGTCGGGATGATTCGGAGGGAGAACTATTTTTCGGATTTCAAGTGATCTTTCGTATGATGAAAGTGCTTTCGAGTACTCGCCCATGTTAACATACACCATACCGATGTTGTTGTAGGAAGTAGCCAATAAGGGATGATTCGGAGGGAGAGCTATTTTTCCGATTTCAAGTGATCTTTCGTATGATGAAAGTGCTTTCGAGTACTCGCCCATGTTATCATACACTGAAGCGATGTTGTTGTAGGAAGTAGCCAAGTCGGGATGATTCGGAGGGAGAACTATTTTTCGGATTTCAAGTGATCTTTCTAGCGATGAAAGTGCTTTCGAGTACTCGCCCATGTCATCATACACCATACCGATGTTGTTGTAGGAAGTAGCCAAGTCGGGATGATTCGGAGGGAGAACTATTTTGAAGATTTCAAGTGATCTTTCGTACGATGAAAGTGCTTTCGAGTGCTCGCCCATCTTATAATACACTGAAGCGATGTTGTTGTAGGAAGTAGCCAAGTGGGGATGATTCGGAGGAAGAGCTATTTTGAAGATTTCAAGTGATCTTTCGTACGATGAAAGTGCTTTCGAGTACTCGCCCATGTTATCATACACCATACCGATGTTGTTGTAGGAAGTAGCCAAGTCGGGATGATTCGGAGGGAGAACTATTTTTCCGATTTCAAGTGATCTTTCGTAGGATGAAAGTGCTTTCGAGTACTCGCCCATGTTAACATACACTGCACCGATGCTGTTGTAGGATTGAGCAAAGTCGGGATGATTCGGAGGGAGAGCTATTTTTCGGATTTCAAGTGATCTTTCGTACGATGAAAGTGCTTTCGAGTACTCGCCCATGTGAGAATACACTAAAGCGATGTTGTTGTAGGAACTAGCCAAGTTGGGATGATTCGGAGGAAGAGCTATTTTGAAGATTTCAAATGATCTTTCGTACGATGAAAGTGCTTTTGGGTAGTTGCCTCGTTGGCCTTCGATTGCTCCTTGGCTATTCAGGGCATTCGCTCGCTCTATATTCGCGGAAGATGTAGCTAGTAGGTGATCACAAATTTCCTGGGCTGTTTGGTAGTGGTGAAGTGTGAGCATCAAGTGAACCATGCGATTCCAGCCGTTTCCGCCATTTTCCTGCCGCATAGAGTGTGTGAGAAGAGATAGTTGTGGATCATCGTCGTTGGTGAGAATGAGTAGCACTTTGTACAGGTTGGAACTGTTGAGGACCTGTTTGATTTCGTTGACACGAAAAATCGTGTGCATAGAAAAGAGGATTTCTTCTTCGTCCTGAAACGAACCCATTGTTTGGATGTTGGCGAAGGGAGTTCTTGAAACTGAAGGTGTGATAGTCATTATGAAAAGTATACCGACTAAGTTAGCGTCTGATGTGTTACTTTCGGCGAACGCTAGGGAAACGTCTTGGTTTCGGGTGGTGGATAAAAAGTTGTTAAATGAGAGAAGACCACCATTGGTTCTTTCAAGTCTCTGAAAATCAGCTTTGGATAATCCTTGCCCTCGGTATACGGTAAAAGGTTCATTATCTGTTTTTGCAGACTGTTCTTTGTGTAATTGTTCGAGTTGGCAGTGAAGATCTCTTATGAAAAAACTCATTTTCTTCATTGTTAGAGTATCCAATATTCGGAGTGACCGATTAACCGCCTGGTAGATGAAAGAGTCACAAATATACCAGGAAATTGACGTCTCAGGACTGTAATTCTTCTCGAACTCGTTGATAGTATTCAACGTTGTTTTATTGTTGTTAGATTTTTCCCGCCAAAATTGAATGAAATCTATGATTTCTTCTTGTGTGTGATTGACTTCAAGTGTAATTTCTTTAAATAGCTGTGTGTACATAAATGAGGGTTCTATTTGATCTAGATTAATTTTCAAACTATCTTCGCCGATACTGACAAAGCTCATAGCGATATCGTTTTTGTAACATCGCTTGATGGCATCTAGTAGTGCTTCACAGAGACGGTTGATATCTGTGTGCATACCTTTAATTTTGCTGGAATTCTTTTTCCAATCGTGGATTAGGGATTCTGTGCTGCAGAATACATATACACTCAGAAGATGAGGAATGTCATCCACGATAGGTATAATGTGTTGATCTTTAGGATTTGACAGAATGAGGAAAGTTTTTTGATCATTGAGGTCAGTGAGAAAATCTATACCTTCATCGGGTCCGTTGAAAATGTATACTTCATCGGCCAAGTTTTGCAGTTGTGTAAGTGTATTTTTACATTGTTCATTGTTTGGGTGAATGTTCTCGTCGATCCATATAATCACATAGCTTTCAGTCATGCATTGCGATGGCTCCATGATGCTCGATAATGGTGTCGCGTTACTTGTGGTATACATCGTGGATGCATAAAGTGTTTCGTTTGATTTTGTCTCAGTCATTTTGAATTTTTTTATCACTTCGTAACTAACCAAGAGCGCAGAGAAGTTGTTTGAAATACAAACAGAAATAATTTTTGCTATTGAGGCAGCAAGAAGCTTTTTTCTTCAATTTTTTTATGAGTTCACATGTGCTGTTTTTTGTTGACATTGAATAGTAATTTGAGGTAGTCGCTAACGAAAATTGAATTGTAAACAAGAAAAGAAAAAGAAAGGAATTCAGTGTTGTAATGTATTGCAATGTTTCTTTTTCAGCAATTTAAAAACAACCATTTTTCTGCGTGGTAGGAACGAAAAAACAACACTGTCATACGTTGTTTGATTTTTTTCCATCTTTCTAAAGATATTATGATAGTTCGAACGGAAATAAGCATAAATAAAGTCAGTTGTAATTTAGACCACAATTGAAAACTTAATTTTCTTTCCACTGAATAGGCTGTGGGTGTGGGTCTGTTGAAGAGAAGATTCATACCCGCATCAACACCCGCACCCACTCACACCCATACCCTCTAGTTTGTTTATCGATATTTTCTAAGTGGTTGACAGAAATTTTAAAATAAGGGCCCTTTCGTAACGTTGTTACAGTGATATTGATCAAGTATTGTTTTCATAATAATATCTCAACGTGGAGAAAAGGAAAAAAAGTTTATTGTTTTGTCAAAAGAAACACCGTACTTGATAGTTTACAAACCATTTGATAGCTGGAATTCGGAGCTAGCGATTAAAGTGCATGGTTAGTTTCAAAGTAAGACAGAAAAGATTGCAAGAGACAACATTGAAATTAGTCCTTAATGTATATGTTTTTATAGACTCACAAAAATAATTTTTCAAATAACAAAATACATTTTCTTGAACTTTCAAGTTTGCTCTACGTGGCAAAATCGTTTGTTTCGAATTCTGAAACACCTAATGTGTAAAGTATCGCGTTACGTGGACAAACCGTATTAAAAGCTCGTTGCTCATACCCTTTACTTACTGCCCACTATGCTAAGTTGGGTCACGATCAAGACATGGATGCTCCAACCCAATGGATACCCGCACCAATCCAATCCATTCGACATTATTTTGAGATGCATTAAAGTTCTTTTTCCCACCAATAACATATAGAACGAGTTGTTTCTTTTTTATTTTATTTTATTTTTCACATCTTTTATTTCACGTTAATCCATCTACTTCTAATCAATTTTATTTACAGATTTAAACAATAAATTTTCGTATCAGGAAAATAGTCTTTCAACTGCTTTGAAATCGATATATTACAAGGTACATGTATACCAAGTAATTTGGCACAATTGGTTCGTGTCGCATATCTTGTAAAATTGTGTGTTACTCTATCCAAAGTTGAAAAGTAGACTTGAAAGTTGAGCTTTGTTGTTAAACACATTTTGATATCCAATAGAAATTGCTCCACATAATCATCATGAGCGTGAAACAAATTAACTACACTAAGATAAGGATATTGAATAACTGATAAATGTCGATTATCATCTTTTGATTGTTCATGAAATTTGTTCTTCTATGGTTTATTATTGTTTACAGCTAATTGTTCCATGAATGGGAAAGATTTAGCAATTTTCACAAAGAATTCATGTTCAAAAGAATAATGAGACTTCACGAACATATTTAAATAATCCGTATGAGAGATTATTTGTAATATATTCATAATATTTTGCTTAATATGGATATGAATAAATATAACATTAATCTTCTTTACGATCTGGGAAATAATAAACACACGAAATAATTTTATTATTTTTAAAACCATTGAATGAAAGGTGACAATCTTTATTTGATGATACATAAACTTGATCGTTTAGAGGCAGACGTGATCGTATGTTAAATACAAATTTATTTAATTGTAATAAATTACTAATAATATTGTATTTCAAATCATAACCATCAATAAATCTTTTCTTACAATACACAGCAAAATGTAAATCGAGTTTTTTCTAGATTGATCATTCGATGTAGAAGTGGCACAATCAATTCATTATACTTATCTGTATCTTGTTCAGAATAGAGCAAAAAAAGTTTTAGGTTGGGTAATTGTTTCTAAAAAAAAATAAAACAATTTATTTGAATATATTAGATATTAAATTGTACAATTTACTTTTTTATCAATTATTATCTGTGACGATAATATTTGATAAATATCAACAGAAAGTTTTTGAAGTGAATCGAAACAACCATCAAGTAAATAAAGACAATCAGTAAAATTCTTCAATTTGACATGCAATTCTAACAGAGTTGAAGAGGAAATAGTTGAAGGAATTTGAAATAATGGTTGATACCAAAAAGTTGGCCTATAATGGAAATACTTTAACTTGGAGAATAAGGTTAAAATGCAGGCAAATATATTTACTTTGCTATTGTCTGGTATATTTTTATTTTTATTTTGAACAACATCAATAACAAATGATGAAATTTTATCCTGAAATATGTGGGTTAAAGGAATTTTGTCTAAATATAAATATAAAATCAATGATGAAATACTTTAAATATATGGATCAGATTGTCACATCTGTTTTAGTCTTCTCTGTCGTTCTAAAGTAAATATTAGTTTTCTCTATCTGAACACATTGATTTTCAATGAGATTTTTGTTTTTACTATTTATATGGAAACAAAATGTCCTATGACACAATTGTACGAAGAATCTTTTTACAAATAAATAATCCTATTGATTTATCTATATTTTTGAAATATTAATGATTGAAAGGGAAAAAAAAATCAAAGAAAAATCTCTCACCAGTAAATATACGTAATGCAATGCCCTTCTCGATATTATGTAAACTAAGTCCACATAAATTGGGATAACTTGTACAAAGAAGAACATCTTCCCTAAACGAGGATTCAACATCCAACCATTTGATTATCTAATCGATTAAATGAACCATTAGAAGAACATCTTGTTATTGTTAAATGATTCGTAAAAATTGAATCATGTACAAGTTTATTAAATCGTTTATTAACACCTATGAATGAGTAGAGCACTTCAGTATTGTCCAATTTCTTCAAAATAAGAAGAATCTCATCAGGTAAATCATTTAACTTCGCCGACAAACCTTCTATATTTAACTTCGTCTGTGTATTTTTTTTCGTTTATATAGACTTATTCAATTTGACAGATTTCATCAATGAAAACAATGACAAATATATGTCATCGATGTCGAATAGAAATGGCTCTTTAGAAGTTAAATATTATTGTTTTAGTTTCAATAAAATATTCTGAAAGATGATATTTGTTTATAGCTTTTTCGTTCGATTCATTTGTTTGTAAAATAATTCTAAGAAAACAAAATATGCCAAAATAAGATGAATAATTTCTATAGTACAAATTATCATGAGAGGAATTCTATATATGCGTCCATTTCTTTTAAGTCATAAATTTATTCCTTTGATTATGAGATTAAAAGAAATAAAATAATTTTTTCTTCTCAAATAAAAAAGTTTTATTAGAAAATTTGAGAAATTCAAAGAAGAATAATTATTTTTTGGGTGTGGGTGTAAGTCTTCATGAGTAGTAGAAGCACACCCACACTCGATGCTCGATTTTTCGGTGTTATTTGGTTCCTTTTCAAGTAATATCATAATAATAAAATTTTGATGAGAACTGCTTTTACGTGAAACTTAACTAACGAATAAGGCAAATCGAATGGCTATGCTTTGTATTTCAATCTTCAATAATTAAATATGTTGTGTTAAAAACAAAATATACTACAAGATGCAGCCTAAAAAGCTCTAAAATCTGCAAAATAAAGCCTATTTTATAGTTGCACTTTTGTTTTCAAAATGAGCAACATTTTGAGGTACCAGCTTTCGACAGTGCGAAAACGATACTTTTTTGATACATGATGAATTGACTTTTTTCTTATTTCATCTTTTTGTCACCTGATATCTTTTATTTAAAAATAACAAAATGCATCGCAAGATGCAGCGCGAAAACCACTAAATTCTATAGATTAAAGATTATTTTAATTGTGTACTTTTTGTTTAAAAAAAAAAACTCTGTGGGACCATTTTCGCTGCTCCGAAAAAAATCATTTTTTTTCTATACGAAAAAGAATTCCTTTCTCTTATTTCATATATAAAATAACCAGTCTTAAGTAAATTGTAGAGCTTTTCAGGCTGCATCTTGTAGTATATTTTGTTTTTAACACAACATATTTAATTATTGAAGATTGAAATGCAAAGGATAGCCATTCAATTTGCCTTATTCGTTAGTTAAGTTTCACGTAAAAGCAGTTCTTATCAAAATTTTATTATTATGATATTACTTGAAAAGAAACCAAATAACACAGAGAAATCGAGCATCGTTCCCTCTACAACTACATGAAAAAAGAAAATTTCTTCAAGCTTTCTATAACGAAATTTGATAATGGCGCCACTATTTTTGGTATGTCCTAAGTATTGTAATTTTTGTGTCTTTCCAGATAATGGGGCATTTCACCATTACATATAGCTTCATTTTTAGCCTTATAAAATAATCATTAAAATAAGTCAAAAGAATTTCTTCTTACCAGTTCTGTAGAGAATTTCACGGCGCATCTTTTAACAAAAGAATCAAGATTATAGCATGTATCTGTGCTGAGATATTTACAAAACACTGAATGTTGCAACCGTTTTGACTCACCCGGTAGGTAGTTAAGGATAAGATTAAGGATAGATATAAGGTTTAGGGGTAGAAATAATGGGCTTAGAGTAGAAATAAGTTGTTAGATGTAGAATCAATCAGCAGCACTAGACAAAGGGTCTGGAATGAACTGATTTCTAGCAGGCTAGAACCATTTTTAGAAGAAAGAAAGAAAAGGTTCGAGAAAACACGTCTTTCTTTTACAGAGTATATTGATTTCAATTCAGTAACATCAACCTGATTCAATAATACCACAACTGGGATCAAATAATAGGCGACTGTAGTTTTACTATTTTTGATTTGTAATCTAGATACTATCCAGGAAAATTTGTGCAACTGGAAAAGCTAAATGGACAAGTTCCGAAAGTGTGATCAATATCAGGTTGTCTATAATTGAAGGAAGTTTTGAGAGACAAGAAAAAGACTCCATTGCTTACTACAGATAAAGTCCTATGATTATTTTACTTAATAGCACTCAGGATATTGATACTTTCAATTATTTTCATGGTAATAATTTCAATGCTGCAAAACTGTCATTGAATCTACAATCACGACATGATAATTATAATTATTATTCATGACTTGGAATCATTTTTGATCTTCCTTCTATATAAAAATATATTCTTATGGTAATTAACCTATATAACCTTACGTACACGTCAATCTTAATCGTTTTTTCTTGCTTATTATCTATTATTCTTGATTGAACAATGCTTACATCATTTTGTTATTCCCAATAATAATCGCTATTCTCTAAATCGGAGACCAAAACGAATAAGAAAAACTAAAATTTGATTCAATTCGGCTTCGCTTTTTGATCTGGATACACTATTTGACATCTTTCTTTGAAAATAAAATTGAAGTATGCAGATCTCAGTATAATGTATATTTTTCAAAGAAAAACTAATACATTTGTACAAATGAATACACAGGAGTATTCAGGTATAATGAAGACAAAAGTTCAATATCAAAACTCTTCTTGATGTATACTAATTATGAAAAAAAGAACGTTTCTCAAATTTTCTCCGGTAATTGACTACATATTCAATGATTTAATTAGTATTGCTTGATAGTCTAATTATTTTGTGGAACTCACGTATATTTTCGAGGAAAATAGTGAGTGTAAATTTTAAGTACAAGTTTTGACGGCTCACCCCAGCTCCCTCCCCATTACAAACCTTAGCAATCAAGAATAACAGACGGCAAAATTTCTATAGTTTTTTTGCAAAATCGATCAAGTCATAATTTTGAAAGATAGCCAACATCATTATTTATGAGTTGATTATATAATAGTGCATAAATTCTGCTGTAGATATAATAGATATGTAAAACAGACGTGTTTGCCAATTAATTCAATGATTATAATAAAAAAATAAAATAAAATTAAGACAAAAAGAAATTGTGAAAAATGAAAAATACTGAACGAATAGCAACAATGAAAACAAAAAATAAGGGCATCTGTCAGAAAATTAAAAAACTTAGAAATTCTTGATTTTATACTTTCTACATTTGATATTAGTATAATGAAGCTGAAGAACATACATGAGTTCCACATTTTATCCTCAAAGGGGCTGCGCTAACAACCTTTTCTAGTAGTTTTAATGAGAAGAATCCGTTTAAGCTCATATTGTTCGATGATATATGCATAATTTAGTGTTAGAAACCAAGGACTCATCAGACGAATTATGGTGAAATCGAGATCTGATGGATATGTCTTCACTTTCAAATTGAATTTTTCCAAACATGAAAGTTTTGTAAGAATATGAGCTAGCTTGTCAAAGTCACAAGTATCAAATGTCACGTGAACCTCTGTTAAATTGGAATTACCAAAGAATATGAGAAGCTCCTCGAAATGTGCTTGAGATGTTAAACTATGTATCAAAGTCAGATGGCGAATATAAGAATTTGTGATCGGTATTATAGACGATGAACTGTTTGTATATAAATAATCGATGGTTAATGAAATAATATAAGGAAGATATTGAAGAAATTTAGAAATAATTTCATATGTTGCTGAATGTAAATGAAGATGACGAATTGTTGTATTTATAGAATATGGCAATTTCAATAATAAAATTGAAGCACCTCTCACATATCCAATGGATGTCAGATGAGAAAAACGTGTTTGTCCAAAAAGAATCCGTTCATAGAATGACCAAGGCACTGACAAAGAGAAAAAACGAGTTAAGTGAGGTTGATTGTTAGGATGAATATGTTTGTATTGTTCATTTGAACATTGGTTCAAGTAGAGAGATCGAATATTAATTAGTTGACGTACATCGATTTCAGGTTCTGGAAAATAGCGCTCATCCTTGAGATAGGCTATTTGAGAATAAAAATGCTGAAGAGAAGAAAGACAATCGTTGAAATCATCATTTTTCTTGATTTTGATACTTATAGGTATTGAACATAAAATTGAATTGATATAATAATTCAAGTTATACCATCCTTGAAGAAGATCTTTGGGTCGAATAAACGAGAATATGTACATAAATAGTTCATTAGGTAGATCTTCGATTTGCATTGCTTTCTTATTCATCGTTTTCAACAATTAATCTAGAAAAGACAATTATTGTAGTCACTTTTTAAGTGTCTTGATTTATTTGTTAGAAAGATCAATGTTATACAGCTGTAGTATAATTTTTTGAGTGACAATAAATTATGAAAAAAAAAGGTATTGTTTACTTTTCTTGTAGCAACCAAATATTTGATTGATTCTACATAAGTTTGTAAAAACAAAAGATGCCGTCATACTAATAATATCCACCAGGCAGATTAACGATTAGATGAAGCGTAGCGTCCTTTCCAATATCATAGTCGGCAAGTGTGAGACCATCTCGTAATTGTTTGCCTCCATAGATAATTCGTTGTTGATTAGGTGGAATATCTGTCTTTTCATGAATTTTTGCCGTGATATTTTCGACAGTATCTTCTCTTGTGACAATAATTATGATCGTTTTATTCGTAAGAGTTGTGATGAATACTTGGAAAGCTGTACCTTCTTCAAGTTTCTTTAAGTTATATTCTTGACTTTTCTGACGGTTTTCTTCTATTTCTACATAAGCGCGCAGACGTGTAGGTCGAAGATAATCAATTATTGTTTGATCAGTAGCAAACTCATCAGGAAATTTGCCATTGCTTGTTTTAGCTATTGTTGCAAGATTAGCATTTTCGTAGGAGAGTAATAGATCGATCATTGTTATAGATCGATTAAAAAGACAAGCTATATGTAAAGGAGTGAAGTAATGGATTGTTAATAATTTGTTTGTTGTAGGTGTAATCAATTTTTGTAACAGTTCGAGATTATTATCGACAATAGCAAAATGAATTGGATAGAGATTCTCCCAAGAGATTGAGTCATGTCCAAATGAACTAGATACACGAATACCAGGAACAAAAGAATTAGCATAATTAAGAGAACATGAACCTAGTACATCAACTGGTACACCAGCATTAAGTAAAGCTGTAGTTGTTGACATCGAACGTGATTGACAAGCAAATAGAAATGCTCCTCGCATAGTATTACGTGAATCACCACCGGAGAAATTTTGATCAGGTGGAATACCAGCATTGAGAATACACTGCACAATGTCTGTATGACCAAGAAGACATGCACGTTGATAAGCTGTTTGTTTTTCGTGGTCCGGTGAGGACCATTCAGACAGAAAGAGACGACGTACGTTACATAAACGTTGGAGTTCATTTTTCGTAAAATTCTGCACGACAGTAACATTATGTGATTCAATAGCATTGAACAGTTGTTCTTCTTTCAATGCATCATCTGATTCGAAAGAACAAGTTTTGCTGTTAGTAAAAGTCATGTGTGCCAATGAATGAGACTGATCGACAATATAACGATTTTATTTCTTACGAAACTATTTCTATTTTGCTTTATCTTTAGCGTTACCTTTTTTTTCTCTTATTTTTGTTGGGTTGTTTCTGTCCTATTGCACAACTTTACTACACGTTGTGCATACAAGCACATGCTTATTTTATGAGTCATCTTTGCTGACGTGATGCATTTGCAGAATGAGTAAAAAAAATGAAATAATGAAAAAAAAGCATATTTCTTCTTTGTTGTTATACATGCACCAAACATCAATCACTCTAAATAAAAAAAATAAGTACCATCCTGAATCCTCCAAAAAGGTTTCGTAGGTGTCTAAAAGCTTCCAAATGCGTTCAAAAGCTTAAAAAAACGATTATTGAAATCTACGAAACCTTAAAAAGATCCGCGGTCAGATTCTTTAAAAGTTTCGTAGATTTTAAGAATCCTTTTTTAAGCGTTTGGACACATTTGGAAGCTTCTGGATACCTACGAAACCTTTTTGGAGGGTTCAGTAAAGTGTCTATTTTTTTTTACAATGCATCGAATATATTTCATGCGCTTTTTTGATCGGATTTTCTTTACTATATGTTTCTGTTACTGAAAAACTCCACTTCGCATCAATACTATCGTCTCACAGTGGTTTTCAACTTTTTAGAATAATGGCTTAAAATACAAAAGGGTCTACTGTTTAGTTCATAGAAAAAGCTGACAAATCTTTTTTTGCATCGGTCGTGAGATTGTCCTTAATATCTTTCAGAAATGCACACAGTAATATAAGTACGGCCACCATGTAAAACCTATGAAAACGTCGATCAACAAATTTCCAGGTGCTGATGAAATTGATTTGGAAAACATTCTTCTGAAATAAAAGCAGAGAAAAGATACATTATTCATTTGTGGATACAAGAAAGCAACATTAGTGTTGAGATGGTGAGGTAATCTCTTAGAATGCGAAATAGCTTTCCTACTACAATTATAGCCATTTTATCATTCATATCAACTATTAGTAACTTACATCTACTTAGACTATACTTAATGATGAGTTCTATTTGTTTCTGAATATAAAGCTCTTTTCATGATGTTCGGGTATGGGTGTGGGTGTGCAAATGAAGACAAGATTCACACCCATACCCACACCCATCAAATAGCAAAATTTAATTCAGTTCTCAGTATCAATCAAGTTATTGATACTACTATTTATCAATCATTCGACTGAATAAACTCAATCTAATATTTTTATGCACCATTCAACTATTCAATGCATTTATTCATCCGGTTACTCGATGTGTTCATTCTACTGTATTCATCTACTCGAACATTGGACTGAATTACTTTTTATACGAGAAACATTAGCAATTAATTATAGTAAAACCTTAGAAAATGTTGTTATTTGATAATAATAATTACATTCAATACTTAAGAGATATTGAAATATAATTGTTGAAAATTTAGATCATAGAACGAACAACATGTAACAAATTTCCATAGGAATCTTTTAAAAGGGATTGTGACAATTTCCAACATTGTTATTAGAGTAGTTATCGTATTTTTGTTGGATTATTTTCAATTGTCTTGGGAGTTCTTATCGTAATTGATCGATATTTAAATCTGATTATTCATCCTACTGGCGAATGACTGAACAAATCAGTTGGTAGGTTATACAATATATCTCACAAAATCTTGTAAATAGTTGAGAAAAATATATTAGATGAACTTGCTCGATCATATCAGACTTGACAATAGGCTCTAATAAAACTCCTAAGATGTAATTTTGCTAGAAACGACAGTTTCAAGTTAACGTATCAATTTGTCCAGGTTTACATTTGATTTCTATGTTATTTCGTAAGATTATATGAATCGGATTTTCTCAGACTATTGCAACATTCTGTTGTGCAATTTGTTTGATCGGAATATTCCAAATAATGTTTACTCAATGAATCACAATTTGCAATTCTATTCAAGTATATAAAATGAAGCAATCGCCAAAATTTCATGTTTCGAAGAAAAAAAAAGGTATAGGTAAAAGTATATAAAGTGTCGTGAAAACGAAAATAGTGACAAAGCACACAATCTCGAGTCAGTATAATGTCCATCATCTTATTCCTAATACTTTCAATTGTTCAATATTCCATCGGCATTTCGATTGCTGCTATTAACGATGCAATAACGCTCGAACAATATCAACAAGTAAAATTGGGATGGACACGAGATCAAGTGACACAATTTGTTGGTGGTCCTGGAGGATTGGTAATATCAGTACCAGAATCACCATCTGATCGAAATAATATTATTGTACAATATAAAGGTTTAATACCATCCAATGTATTACAAAGACAGTCTACAGTGGTATTTTCATTTTCTAATGGAATCCTATGGAAAAAGAAGCAAAACCTGCTTGATCTAACATCAAATTATATAATAACAAAAGAAAATTATAATCAAATAGAAACTGGTTGGACATATCAACAAGTAACATCAACTATTGGAAGTAAAGGAAATGTTATAGAAGAATCAAACATTTGGCCGAATATAACATTAATGACTGTTGCATATCAAGGCGAAGACCAAGAAGGACTTGGTTATATTCAACTTGGATTTATGGATGGAAAATTAGGATCTAAACCAACGTATGGATGGGTATCTATCAATCCAAATACTCCCAGATCCACTCTTACACCAACAACGAATGATTTTCTACCAACTGATCGAATAACAGTTGAACAATATCAACAAGTTCAATTTGGATGGACACGTAATCAATTGACACAGTATGTTGGTAGTCCAGGAAAAGTTATACCATCACCTAATTCAAATACAATTCTTGTTCAATATCAAGGTCCATCGCCTGATATAACTGCTATAGCAGGGTTTGCCTTTCTAAATGAAATATTGTTTACAAAATCGCAATTGCACTTCGATTTTACAGCAAATTATAAGATAACAAAAGAACAATATAACGTCATTCAAATTGGATGGACTTATCAGCAAGTAAAAGCAGCTCTAGAAAATCAAAAGGGAAATGTCGTAACAGAATCTAGTACAAATGGGTATACATCAATGGTAGTTCAATATACTGGTATCAAAGATCAACAGCAAATGGAAGATGCGATCGTTACACTTGGATTTTCAAGTGAGAAATTAATTACTAAATCACAATACGGATGGTAACAAATATTTGAATGAACAGTCGTATTGATGTTTTTTTTCTTATTTTTATTTAATCCATAAACGCTTTTCACGTTAAGATTTCTGTAATAATTAATCAAGAAATTTACTTAATCAATAATATTTATATTTTGAATGTCGATAAAATTGATATGAACGATATGCTAAATTCTTATAATGGCGGCACTTATCAACTAGTTAGATAGTGGAGGGAGAAGTCCATCGTGCGAAATTGATGTGAAGCATCTGTTTAAATTCTCAACCTCGCTGATAAAATATTCGTGCAGTTGATCCGTTACATTCAATCTGGATATCTTTCCTTCATTTTATTTCTTTCTTTCTATCATCTGTTCATTCTCTCTATCTTTCATTCACTCTCTCGATAGCCCGTCTGTCTGATGGAAACGGAAGAAAGAATATATTCATACAATTAACTGAATCAATTACATGAGTCGGGTGATTCGTTTTCACGAACAAATGAGTGAAATAGCTTTCATATCAAAGAACTTTATACTTACTAGATCTATTGACGTTGGAATTCAAATAATCATTTTGATTTATAGTTTTATATCGAGGATTTTATGTTAGAAATAGTAGATAGCTCAAGCTATAATGTAAAAAAGTTTCGATCTTGAAAATCATTTGTCCAGTGAGCTACATTAGTTTTAACCATATAGTCGTTGTTTGGTAGGAGAATGGAAAGCTTCATGACTATTGAAAGAAGCAGCATCAGTTCAAATTCTTCTAGGCTTTTTCTTAGAATAACGTCCACAATTTATGGGGAAAATATAAGCGAAATAGCATGAATCAGTTGGAGATCTTCCCTCGTTAGTTGAATAAAAAGATAACTGGCCGCTAATCGATTCTTCTATTTACTGAACTACTATCGTTGGTGAGAAGTCATTTTGCGGTCAACCATGATGAATCCAATCACATAAATCTTTGATTACTCATATGAAAAGAAACGTAAAACTGGGCACCAAGTCTATTGAGTGATGAAATTCAAAAAATAGACATTTAAAGCACGTTGTGTTTTACATTTATATCTGAATTTTTTTCATCTTCTGTTATCAAAAAGCACGTTTGCTCCGACACTTTGACGATAGATTCGGATAGAACGAATCAAAGGCTATAAAATGTGTACAAAAAATATTCGTATATAGGTCGTTCTTTCATCATATATTTTCTGCTCGTAAAAACTGATATTACACAAACAAATTAAGTCTGTTTTCGTAATGTCGCAATGCTAAAACGACATATCATTGTTTGACCTTTTTAGAACACTTTTAAATGCAAAAATACTCTCAGAGAAAATTTCTATTCTCGATAACAATCTTAGATCTATTAGTGGAATATTATGATATTTTGTAAGTAAATCATGGAGGAACAAACTTATACAGCTGATTAATAATAATTTTATGTTATGGAAAAATAATGCTTTTCGTTTGAGAAGCTGACACACTAATCATGACAATTATCAAAAAAGATGACAAATGTGCATCTATAACTTTAAAAACACGAAGTTAATATGAGCAACAACTAAAAAAAAATATGTTATACTTATGATAAAGATAAAGTCATCATTTTTTTTTATTATCATGTAATTTTAATAGAGAAAAATAAATGTCGCTCTGTCACTACTACACTCGGGCAGACAAGACCCTCAAAACAACGCGTAAACACGCGTTAAAGATATTTGAATCCGTAAAAACGCGTAAATTTTTTTTAGAGTTGTGTGTTTTTATGCCGTTTATACAATGCATTTTTCGCGTCCTACTGCGTTCAAATACATTAACACGTTTCAATAGAACAACATTAATTGAGAAAATGCATTTTGTACACGAATTTTCTTCGACTTTCATTAGGTTCAACAATAACTCATTATTTTAAGTAATTCAACGTGTTTAAGTGAATTCATTACTTGCAATTTGTTAGAGTAATCTTTAGTAGAATAAATTGTATTTCTATCAACATGTGTGATGTCAAAACGATCATTGCAACACTACCCTAGCTTTTAATCAGAATAACAAAACCATTTTTTAACAATCATAACAAAACAAATTATATTATAAAGACATCCGACCTTTTTAATGTCCTTCATATGTGCAAGATTTTTATCAGTTTTTACTATTCTTTATTTGGCTTGCATATTTATGTATTATTTGAAAATCTTTGAGTTTCTTGATGCATTTGCTGATTAGTCAGCCTAACTAATCACCGAATTGCATATTAAAGCACAGAATATTTCATTTATTCTTTTCTCTATTCATTCTGTAGTTGATGTAACATATTTTGCATTAGTTGATATTTTTGAGTCAAGGGTGGGCGTGGGTGTTCGTGTGAGTATGGGGTGAGGGTGTGGGCGCGGGTGGGTGTGGGTGTGGATGTTGTCGAAGAAGAGAAGGGCACCCACACCCACACCTTGGTACAGACTTGCTTTTCCATTTTTCATACTGGAAAGGAATGAAAAAATTTGTGAGACTGGTTCATCAAAAGTGGAACGAAGTACTAGGTCATGTTGCAGTCTCTACCGTTCGACCTAGGGAAATTTGTAATGTAATATAAATATTATCCTCTGGTTCCTTGAAATAACTCAAAGAGAAAGAAATTTTTTCGCTGATTACATGATATTGGCACATATCGATTATTTTATGCAGTTAATCATTATTGTATGTCAAGTTAAATAGTATTTGTGACAGAAGTCATCATTGCATGGCCACTGTCGGCATCTATCAGCACCTTGCAGTGTTTCATTACACTTTCTTTCTCTTTTCTGTTCTCTTTGTCGCTCTGTAGCTATACATACTCATGTTTGTGTGTTGCTCCATGAGTCAAAAGACTCACGGGGCTCGTTGCCTATTACAGTATTGTCAAGCTTTTAATTTTTTTCTTCCGTTTTTTTTTCTTATGTGACTTTTTCTTGCATATTAATACTGAAAACAAATTACACGTCATGATGACACACACAGCCTCTTCGTCGGAACATGCTCTCCCTCTTTTGCTGTTCTATTCAATATTCTATGACGACATAAATCATTGAACCATTCTCGATGTTTTCGTCAAACAGGAGCCATTCTCTACTTGTTTTTCTTCTCTTTCTTTGATTGATTTATTTTCGTTCCTGATTCAATAGACACATAAACAGTGTATGTCAGGACTTCCACATGTGACGTCATGTGAAGAAAAAAGCATCGCGTAGGACAAATCAGTGTGTATCATTTCATTTCATGGAATGAAATCGAATGAGACTGACTCATCCTATCCGAAGTTTCAATGTATATATAAATTGTTGCTTTCTTTCCATCGTCAACATAACTAAAACACGCTTGCATACCTCAATAAAGAAGAATTTTATTTGTTTTTTCAACCGATCCAGAGACGATGTTATTAAATTTTGCTCAAATATCTCAAGATGATTTAATTTCACCTATGATATGGAAAGCTGCATATGGATTTGCAACAACATGTATTCTTGGAGTTGCTGCTTATGCTGGATATCGTGTAGGTACACCAGAAAAGTACCAAGCTAGACAGCATCTAAATCCAGAATTGAATGATCAAATCAAGAAAGTTGTCGATTCATTAAAAATAACTGATGATCAACTAATAAATATAATGCAGATATTAGAAGAAGAAATGAATACTGGTCTTTCATCATCAACACATAACCAAGCAACAGTAAAAATGTTTCCATCATATGTACAAAATGTTCCAAATGGAACAGAGATTGGTCAAGTACTTGCACTTGATTTAGGTGGAACAAATTTTCGTATACTTTTAATTGATTTACATGGAAATTCAACAGTAGAATCAACGTCTAGAATTTTTGTTATTCCACAATCAATTATGATTGGTGATGGAAAACATTTATTTCATCATATAGCTGAATGTTTACATGAATTTATGGAAAAAGAACATTTATTAAATACTGGAATATGTTATCCATTAGGTTTTACATTTTCATTTCCTTGTCAACAAGAAAGTCTTGCATCAGGACGATTAACAACATGGACAAAAGGTTTTAATTGTTCAGGTGTTGTTAATGAAGATGTTGTGAAACTTCTACAAGATGCTATTAACGAAAAACATATAAATGCAAAATGTGTAGCTCTAGTAAATGATACAGTTGGAACATTAATGGCTTGTGCTTATAAAGATCCATCAACAGCCATTGGTCTCATATTAGGAACTGGAACAAATGCATGTTATATTGAAAGTTTAGATAAAGTTGGTACATGGAATGGTAATTATGATGAACCAAAACAAGTTATTATTAATACAGAATGGGGTGCTTTTGGTGATAATGGTTGTTTAAATTTTATTCGAACGAAATATGGTGAAGAAATTGATGTTTCATCGATTAATCCCGGCAAACAAATTTTTGAAAAAATGATTTCAGGAATGTATATCGGTGAAATCGTTCGTTTAATAATACT